TTGATAAATAGGTGCTTGAAATTTAAAAAACCCAGTCTGTTCAAAAGAACCTTCTAGCCCGAACATGTAGTTTGGAATAGTTTCAGTTGGTGTTATTGTTTATTCAAGGAGTGACAGTAGCTAAGCTTACGGGACTGAAAGAAATATTACTAGAATCAGGACTCAGACTGCCTACAGAGTGATATAGTGTAGGGATTGAGGGAGATATTGAAATATGGAATAAGAAAATATATCAAAGATCATTAGCTGAGCTTACGAGACTGAAAGAAATATTATTAGAATCTGGACACAGACTGCCTATAGAGTGATATAGTGTCAGGATTGAGGTAGATATTAAAATATGGTATAAGAAAATATATCAAAGATCATTCCATTGATGTTGGATGCAATAATCAGCCTTATTTTAAATATATTAGATACGTAACAGGTAAGAGAATTGATGCAATTATGAATGAGAAACACCTTCTCATTGATTTCTCAAATAAATAGTTGTACGGAATGCAGCACCTGACCAACAACACTAGACCATGCCAGACACAGCCTTCGGCCAGGACTTGATGATAGCCGGCGAGGAAATTGCATTTTGATGTTGTCTCACACCTGTCTGGTATAACCTTGTTTGCATTTAGCAGATGCTCAGGTACACTGTGGTAACGGCTGTGTCTACCTGACTTGGGTGACGTGTATCCACCGCCCCGTTACATCCAACATTCCCCTACACCATCACAGGGGGTCTACGTGCACATACCCTGGACTTTCTTGTGGGGGCAATTGATTTTCCATTATCTTAGTCAGATAATTATACTGGTAATTAGTCTGTCAGTTTGCTGGGGTGAGAGATGATGGACTTGTCCATCAACAGATATGGAAATGTACCTGTGTGGATGGCTGGTTATAACACGTGATGGGTGCGTGGTGTGGGGGATATGTGTTACCATGGTCAGTCTGTTACTGGGAGTATGTAGGTTTGGTTGCATTGCAATATTATCAAATCAATTAAAGGTGTGTAATGTGCATACATAGCCAAATATTGATGTAAGACAAACTGACGGCCATATGTAATGAAACACTTCCTCCTTTTTCAAAATATCAACTCCAGATTTGAAATTAACAAATATTCGCCAGTGAAGCTTAAGCCAGTAAAATTCAGGAACGACTTGTGATGTACTTGTTGATTTGCAATTTTACTATTTGATGGCAACTCTGTAGCAGATGATTTTAGCAATCTATTGAGCATAGAAATTAATTTCTAGCCCTACCTACTCAACCGTAAAAACACTGCCTCCTATCCTGTAGATATACTTGTCAACCATACTCTGTACATCACTTGCGTGATAACAGTGTTATAAGGCACACCGAAACGTCGCTCCTAATTGTAATAAAGACGTTATCCTTATCCTTACTTAGTACCCCAACTTCTAAATGCTTCTCAAAGAAGTTAACTTTTCCTGAGTTGAAGCATTTTTATTATAGATTTGAGCATGTTGAGTTTTGATACTATCTCAGGTATTTTTATCAAACAGGTTTAATAAGCATGTAATCTGAAGTCACTCATGAATTAATGACATTTAAAAGGATCACTAACTTTCACAAAAAAGAAGGTACTTCAAGTTGTTGACGTCTTTTGAGCGCATTATGGCTAATTATGGCTCTTATTCATTCATGACATTGTGTTATATCTAGCCGAGACACGCCCCCTCCTTATCGATGCATCATCACTATTGTAATGACATCTTACTGTTAGGATTAGTCATCTTACGGAGCTGACAGCTTTTGTTGAGCAGTTGGGAGGCTTTGTACCTAAAACCTGTAGCCACTTACTTGGCATTTTGTTGAGATGATTATGACTATTTGATTAATTTTGCTAATGGAACACACATTAAAATGTTGTTATCCACTGTGCAGGAGGAATGTCTCTATTGTCAGTGACATGTAGAGAAATTGTGTGGGAATTTTTTTTCCCCTGTGAAAGCCACACACAGTGATGTTGGATGACTTGCTTAAAGGACCCATGTAACTGTCAAAGTGTGGTCGTCGATAGTAACAGCAGCCCTAAGTTGCTGTGTGAACAGAGTTGTGTCCCTTATGTATACAGGAACCGCTCATCATTCCAAATTCACTCATGTCAAAACCAGGGTAAAATGTTCTCTTCTCTTCTCTTCTCTTCTCTTCTCTTCTCTTCTCTTCTCTTCTCTTCTCTTCTCTTCTCTTCTCTTCTCTTCTCTTCTCTCCCCTCCCCTCCCCTCCCCTCCCCTCCCCTCCCCTCTCCTCTCCTCTCTTCTCTTCTCTTCTCATCCCTGAAAAACAATCTGCTGCACAGTTGCCATCTACCTGTTTGTAAATCTCCTCTCCTCTCTTCTCTTCTCTTCTCCTCTCTTCTCCTCTCCTCTCCTCTCTTCTCTTCTCTTAGACCGCCTCCGTGGTCTTGTGGTAGAGCGTCCGCCCGGAGAGCGGAAGGTCCAGGGTTCGATCCCGGGCCGCGTCATACAAAAAGACGTTAAAAGATTGTACTTGTTGTTACCCTGTCTGGCGCTCGGCATTAAGGGGCTAAAACAAGGACTGGTCGGCTCGGAGTCAGTATACTGTGTCTGAGTGGGGTATTCATGTTAAACTGCGGCATGGTATCTCAGTGAGCTAGCACTATAAATCGGCATCAGTCCGGACTAGTACAAGCAGCCACACACACACATACACGTGCATGCACGTCGCTATATAAGTGCAATAATCTTGGACGCGACGTTAAACCCAATTTCACCTCACCTCTCTTCTCTTCTCTTCTCTTCTCATCCCTGAAAAACAATCTGCTGCACAGTTGCCATCTACCTGTTTGTAAAAGTGGTACCACAAGTCCAAAAGAAAATGTCATTGGTCCTTCCTGAATTATATTCATCTCAGACTAGCGACCTATCTTCATTTTGAATCCTGTATTATGGCCATTGGTTGTGTCAGAACTAAATAGGGTTTTCACTTTAGTCCTTTCAGTGTTTTCCAACATTAAACTGAGATGCAGTGATATGTCTTAAATACTGTCAGAAACAACCTTGCTCATTCCTCCAACCTGCGTCTTCCCGAGGCAAGGGAGTCAACTGACTATAGAAGTCCTGTTTCCACCCTTGCCAAACTAGGCTGGAATTTTGGAGTTATGTTTAGGCTGGAGTAACGAGTCTATGTATAGTCCAGTCATAATCGCATAACAAACTCAGGTTTGTAAAATGCCGTGCAGATTTTGGTAATAAGCACTAATAACAGTTTGAGATGTCATGATTCACCAACATCGGTGCATCGATAATATTCTCAGACGTTAAGATACACACGTAACCTGTACTGATTCATATTATAATCCTGTATCATTTCACACCTGAAACATTTAAAACAGCAATGAAATAATATGTTAGCAAAATTGGTAAATTATTTTACCATTATTAATGAATGCTATATCTGCATTGTATAATGTATGGTTTAAAATCTTAAATTCTGTTTGTCTTTTACTAGCAGGTGTTGACATACCGGTATTCATTTTCAAAAGAGAGACCAGATAATCAGGAAGTTTGAAGCTTTTTTAATAATGTTTATAACCTATGAAATATATATTAATTCACACAAAATAATTTGCTGCAAATTAAGTAACGTGAAATGTATCCTATCTTATCACAATCGTATCATATCAGGAGATAGTTGTATTGTGAAATCCCTACACCAGCCACTTTAGTCTGAAGCCTGAGTCATGGTATAACACTTTGTATAAATCAACTGAAGATCAGACTTGGAGATACAACCTGTTTTGCCACAGACTTTTATAGGGAAGACATTATTATTTGTTCCATGAATATGCTTTTCTCTGATCCAGATGATGAAATCCATTTCACAACAAAGGGTCATGTATTATCATGATTAGATTTGGAAGTTGAAGCTTTTTGGGGTTATTATTTAAGTGAAAAATAGAAAGGATCTGTTTACGTCACTATTTTTTACATCAAGACATAGTACTCCTGGAGTTTCCGCATCTACAGCAGCATATGGCCGTGTATGCTTGAGGACATTGATCCTATTATGAATATATAATGGTATTTCCATGTCAAAGCTAAAAAGCATGGCATAAGTGATGAAATGATTGTCATGTTACGGTCATCAACACCCGTTTGGGTAGTCTTAATGAAATGTTGCTGTATTTGGACTTCCGACATCATTGTGTAAAACATAGTTGTTATCAGTATTACCGCCGACTTATATATAGGTCCTTGGTATTGCTTTAGCATGAATTGTTTTATCTGAACTAGGGACTTTTTACATTGAGTTGGGAATTGTCTTTTTTTCTGACAGCTTAAAAATGTTATGGAAGTAAAATGGATTTTTCAATTCATTGATCGTGAATTGTGAATTTAGCACAGAAAGCAATCAACAAAAGAGTGATTGTAACATCGATTTCATTCCAAAACCAAGCTATGTACCACAATGGGTGATATGATGCTATGGATAAGGGAGGATGGACTAATTGTTATTTATTGTTATTAATATTGATCAAAACTAAACATGGTGAGTGGATAATCCACTTTTCAAACTGCTTAATCATGTTAATATTTCTGTTCCAAAAAGGACCAGTAATTTTAGAACGTTGTTCTAAAGATTTGATTAATTTTCAGGCAGGTTCCGAAACTCTTATACCCATGAAGATCCGGGTTAGAATAGGTCTTCAGCAACCCATGCCTGCCATAAGAGGGGACTATGTTTGTCGTAAGAGGCGACTAACGGGATCGGGTGGTCAGGCTCGCTGACTTGGTTGATGCATGTCATCATATTCTAATTATGTAGATTGATGCTCATGATGTCAATCACTTGATTGTCTGGCCCAGACTCAATTATTTACATACAGACCGCTCTCATGTAGCTGGAATATTGCTGAGTGAGGCATTAAACTACAAACAAACAAACAAACCAACAGACAAATCTGAGTGTATGTCACTGTACATTGCCAGATGTAAACCTGGTATTATTTGTTGCAGAGTGAACCAGGAAGACATCCGGCTGATGCTATGGGACACCGCCGGACAGGAGGAGTTTGATGCAATCACTAAAGCCTACTACAGAGGTAGGGTGGGAACTTAAATATCCACCAACATGTACAGGGATTTATCTGGGATTCCAAACTAAGCCCCATGGCAAACACATTGGGACACAACCTCAGTTGCAATACTATTGCCAAATTGATAAGTTCCCCCACCATCCTACTCCATCCTTGCTATTTTGATCTCTAAGATTTCAAAGTACATTGCTTAACGCCAGACTCTCCCATTCAATGACATTGAGAATTTTTCGATACATGCTGAAATACTTTCTCAGGCCTAAGGGTAGGCTGTCAAGATGATAATGATCCGCATAGATGACTTCACATTCTCTCTCCATCTTGAGGCTATTCAACTTTCGTTATCAGTTGTCAGTGTGTTTGAATGATAAAACAAATCCCCTGGTACAACTCAACTTCTTCACATTCATAACAATTAGGGACCCGTGAAGATCCGGGGTAGAACAGGTCTTCAGCAACCCATTCTTGCCATAAAAGGCGACTATGCTTGTCGTAAGCGGTGACTAATGGGATCGGGTGGTCAGGCTCACTGACTTGGTTGAAGCTTGTCATCGATCCCAATTGCGTCGATCGATGCTCATGATATCAATCACTGGATTGTCTGATCCAGACTCGATTATTTACAGACCGCTGTCATATAGCTGGAATATTGCTTAGTACAAAAACAACCAACCAACCATAGCAATTAGGAAATACGGGTTTGTTGATCATCTCCATAAGGAGCTATGATATTTCTGTAGCTAGTTCCAGCGTTTGTGATCAAAGTCAAGGTCAGAAGCCGCCAAAGTGCTTATGTCAGAGACTTTGGCTGGGATGCGAGTCACCTGGTATTGGCTGACACAACCACTTAGATCAGCTTTGTGCTGAGCCAGATAATGTTGTGGCTGCAAGTAGTTGGGAAATGTCTTTAGGTAGGATTAATTTCCTTCTGTATGGAGGGTCATTAAAGCAAGACTTTTAGCCTTTAGCAATGTTTCAGCAATAACCTCTAGGCTACCTTATCTTCCCTCCCCCTAATAGAAAGAGGTCTAGTGGAGTGAAAAGCATGTGTCATAGAAAGCCAATGGTATGCACATGATGAAAGATGCTGTGTTGACGACATTATAATAGGTAAACGTCCCCACTGAATGGCAAAAAATTATTTTGGGAAAAGCAGCATTTGTTTATAACGGATTTGGATGAAGACATCCTGTGTATATATTGCCGTTATCTTGGCAATGGCTCAAAAACAAAGTTCTCTTTGTGGATAAGCTTTCCGGTTGGATTTTGAATTTATTTACTATTTAGAACTCACAATCACAAGAAAAAGTCTTTGACAGACCTTGTCAAGACAAAAATGCCATATACCTGCTGAGGTTGTATGAGAATATGGTCTTTATGAAGGCTATTTGCCCTGAGAAACTTGCCTGAACAAAATCCTGTGGTTACAGAGGTCTTATGGATTAACTTGAGTAAATAATTAACTCCTTCAGTCAGCCACATTCCTATTGTTCAATCTATTTTTCTCAAATTGTTTTGTGGCTTGATAGCCTAGCTGTGTATATTTGTTAGAGTAGGTCAAATACTCCCTCATGTTGATGGGCTGTCGTCTCTGACCTGTCAATACATTCGCCTGTCAATGTAAGGGCAGACACCTGTGTGATCAGTGACCGTAGACCACATGGTACAGTGTGTGGAGCCATTTTAGCTGTCATTCCCATGTAAGGGCAGACACCTGTGTGATGACTGACTGGACCACATGGAAAATGTGTGGAGCCAATGTGTCTCTCCATTTTAAGGGCAGACACCTGTGTGATCAGTGACCGTAGACCACAGGGTACAGTGTGTGAAGCCAATGTGTCTCTCCATTGTAAGGGCAGACACCTGTGTGATCAGTGACCATAGACCACAGGGTACAGTGTGTGAAGCCAATGTGTCTCTCCATTGTAAGGGCAGACACCTGTGTGATCAGTGACCGTAGACCACAGGGTACAGTGTGTGAAGCCAATGTGTCTCTCCATTGTAAGGGCAGACACCTGTGTGATCAGTGACCGTAGACCACAGGGTACAGTGTGTGAAGCCAATGTGTCTCTCCATTGTAAGGGCAGACACCTGTGTGATCAGTGACCGTAGACCACAGGTTACAGTGTGTGGAGCCACTGGGCAGACACCTGTGTGATGACTGACTGGACCACACGGTACAATGTGTTGAGCCATTCTGTCTCTATTGTTGACTTGATATAATACAGTGTTCATGTAGCATGCATTGATGACACAGTAGATGATGATGCCTTGACATCTTTGTTGAACCCTGCTACTACTGTCATTGTGGGATCCAAATTGTGAGGATCGATGATATTAATCACTGGATTGTCTGGTCCAGACTCAATTATTTACAGGACGCTGTCATATAGTTTGAATGTTGCTGAGTGCGGCATTAAACCACCAACCAACCAACCAACCAACAGTCACTGTTGTGTGTGGTATGCCCCTCTGGAAATTCCAGACTTAAATAGTTACCCAGCAGCAGGCTGTTCTAGGCGACTTAATGGATCAGTTGGTTTGGGTTCATGACTTAGTTGATTTCATTTCATTGTACCCCGACTACATGGGACATTGCTCATGATGTCAACCATTGGTTTGTCTTGACCAGACTCCATTCCTATAAGCTCCCATCATATGCCTGAAGTATTGCTACAGGTTTGAATAACAAGCATCCACAGTGTTTGTGTCATGTGAAACCCTCAGGTCAGTGTGTCCAACCACCTTTAGCCAGTTCCCGTTGTTATTGAAGTCTCTTTGGACAATACAGCCAGGCTCTTGCACATGGGGGAATGTTAGAGATGAAGATTATATAAATCTCATCAGTATATAGCATGATATAGTATTGTGCTGCCAGTGTTACCGGGACTGGTACAAGGTGTTACAACATAGTACATGGCCAGATGTTGGTGGTCATGTCCCGGTGTATAACATCGTATATCCTGGTTTATAAAAGTTTAGTGATTATGTCTTTGTGAGGAAATAATCAGTTCAGAGGTTAGGAATAGTGTAGAGTTCGTACCAAGTCACAGTGTGTCTAATTCTTGGTTTGTGTGTATTATTAATTTCCATCCGCAAAATATTTGGAGATTTAGATCAAGAGTTTCCTCACAAACCCGCACGTTTGTCACGGCCAAGTACAGCAGCATTAGCCATAATAAATATGGGTGTGTCGATCTGTAATCAAAATTCTTGCCCCCTATACTCATACAGATTAGGATTAGATGCAAGAATTCCACTGTGAGTCCCATTAGATACAAAAGAATGTAGAAGTTGCAATGATTGAACTAATTAATTTGAACCATTACATAGGATCTGTCTCATATTTCTGTTCTGATGAAATACAATCAATGTTGGGCCAGTCCATGTCAGATTTTCTATACTCAGTCACTACGTTTTGTTTCAAACAAGGAATTCCTTATAATGCCGTTAAAGCAATATGATTGTGAGATTGCCAAGATTTCTCTCTCTTTTGTAGGTCTGCATTACAATAAGGTTACATTGCCATGTAAGCAATATGATAGTGAGATCGCTAAGATGTCTCTGGCTTTTGTAGGTCTGCATTACAATAAGTTTGTATTGAAGTACAGGCATTGTAATAGTGAGATCGCTAAGATGTCTGACTTTTGTAGGTCTGCATTATAATAAGGTTACATTGCCATGTAAGCAATATGATAGTGAGATCGCTAAGATGTCTCTGGCTTTTGTAGGTCTGCATTACAATAAGGTTGTATTGAAGTACAGGCATTGTAATAGTGAGATCACTAAGATGTCTGACCTTTGTAAGTCTGCATTATAATAAGGTTACATTGCCATGTAAGCAATATGATAGTGAGATCGCTAAGATGTCTCTGGCTTTTGTAGGTCTGCATTACAATAAGGTTGTATTACAGTACAGGCATTGTAATAGTGAGATCACTAAGATGTCTGACCTTTGTAAGTCTGCATTATAATAAGGTTACATTGCCATGTAAGCAATATGATAGTGAGATCGCTAAGATGTCTCTGGCTTTTGTAGGTCTGCATTACAATAAGGTTGTATTACAGTACAGGCATTGTGATAGTGAGATCAGTAAGGTGTCTCTGGCTGTTGTAAGCAGTCTATCAATAAGACAGCTCCATGGCTGTAATGTCGATGGATAATTAACTACCTGTAAGATCCCGAGATCAGCGCACATATATCAACATGCCTAAATGCATGTGTCTTGAAGTTCAGCTAAGAGACCTATAGATATGTGAGCTCAACTACGCCAACAGTGTAAAAACGCTTTGCATGCCGAGCAGTTTTAAACCAAGGAGTGTACCGTACTCAGTTTCCAAGAAGTTGAACTTTGAATGAAAACTAGTTCCGTAACCTGTGTGGCGTCATCCCGATAAACCGCATGGTACGTCTAACGAGATGGCGCTGTAACGAGCTACTCCCTTATCAAGCTGACCAGGTAGAGATGCACAGGTATTCTGTGCATGTCGACTTGCTTCTTTCTTAGTTTAGCTGACACATTTAGGATTCTGAGAAAATATTGACACGCGGGTTTGGAGGTTTTGTGCTGTGCTACTCGCCCTGTGACTGGTCAGTGATCGGTGGACCAAACAAACACGTCTTGTTGAGGCTATTATTGATGTTTGGACGTTTGTATTTGCCTCGGACAGGAATTGTCGAGGCGGTGACACTCCTGCCCTCGTTGGCTTGGCTAATATCAGTTTTTGACATCTCGTCTGTGGCCTAATTTCAACAGATTGCTCTATAACCAAGCTGTTGTCACATTTGATAAGCTACTTGACAATAAGATCTTGTCAAGAATGGCACATGACGGCAGTTGTATTGTGTCTGTAAACATATTAATAAAGAAGTGGTTCTGAGGTGTAGACACAGGGGTCTGGAGCAAACACTAAACTAATGTAGGCTTTGTGAACGGGAAATCACGATAGGATTAGCATGGGGATTAGCAGGACATGTTGTTGAAGTGTCACTGAAAGGTGTTCTATAATCCGTACTTCCGAAATACAAACATTCAGATACCTATGATATCTGCAAGTGGCATTTAAGAAGCTGTAGTATCAATGTTTACAGAGATTGACTTACTCATTTCGATTTCATTATCCTTTCAGTGCTATGTTTCAGTACAGGTATATAGAAGTGACTAGTACCTTTGTCTAGACATCGACACCTGGGTAGGACATGGTTACATTGCTTCTACTTACATCCACATGGGGATTACCTGACAGTGTTAATCTGTCTGTGTATGTTATAGTTAGCTATATCTGTATATTATATACCCATGTCCTACCCAGATGTTCGATCAAGACTATGCATGTCCTTAGAGGCGATTAACGGGATCGGGTGGTCAGGCTCGCTGGCTTGATGGATGCACGTCATATCCTATCTGCCTTGATCGATGCTCATGATGTCAATCACAGGATTGTCTGGTCTAGACCCATTATTTACAGATTGCTGTCATGTAGCTGAAATATTACTGAGTGCAGCAACAAACAAACAAATAAACAAAAGTTGTTGGATCATTTGCTTGATAAACAATGAGTAACTAGCCCCTCCACCAGAGTATCGCATGGACAGAGTAACGTTGAAATCTATGTCAACTGTCTTAATGCAGATGCCCCATCGCTGTAGACCTGTTCAGGGAACTGTTCAATGTTTCTACATGCCTTTGGTATGAATGTACAAGCCCTAGACAGGGTTGGTTGAAATATATTTTTGTCATGAAGACCTTCAGCTGGATTTTATAGCCTGTTGATAGGTTCTCCTGAAGCGAACATTGTGCATTGTTCACTGTAATCATGGTAATGTGAAAATAGTGAACTGTTCATGGGAATTATGTCATAGACTTGATAAATCTTTCAATCTTTACTATTTTAAAATTTAATTAATACCTGTTTTGAAAATGTATCCATTTTATCAGATTTATTTTAGCAGCTTCTGTATTTATTTTGCTCTTGTAGAAAGAAGTATGTTTTAATCTTGTTTTGAGAGCACAGGCCCGTGTTTGTGGTTTAGTCACCAGCATCAATCAAGAGTTGCTCACATTGTACAACATAAAGTATCTGACTGTTGTTAAAACTTTATTGCCTGTAACACAGACTAAACCCTGTGATTGCCAGTCTCCCATTACTAATCACACACCGTACAGTAAAACATGACCTTAAATAACAGAGTAGGATATAATGATATATACTTTATTCACCACTGGCTCGTGCTGGGATTAATAATGTTTATATGAATACCTCAAATATTTGCTTTGTTATGGTTTCCAGTTGAAACGCTGGTTTCATTTACAGCCCAAACCTATATAGAGTCGTGTACAAATAGCATGTGTGAGAACACTCGCTCAGTGCTCTGTTGTCTTTTGTTTAGGGGCTCAGGCGTGTGTCCTTGCATTTTCCACCGTGGACCGAGACTCCTTTGAAGCCATAGAATCGTGGAAAAGAAAGGTAGGTTGGCGGCCAGCAGTTCTTCTGGACAACTGACCAGGTTGATGGGAATTGTTTGGCTGGGGTGTGATTAATGGCTTAAACACTTGTACCTGTGTTGTAAAACAGCTCTTCTGGGACTAAGTATACCTGATGAAGTAAGTATTTGATGAATGGGACAGTGGTGTACTGTTTCCGAAGTTCTGAATGGGAACACAGTTTTAGAGACCTTATGTTCAAAGGGTATAAGGCATTATGAATAGAAATGTTTGGTACACTGAGGGGTTACATATGCTGTAATTGAAAAAAACTTGTTTGAGTTTATGGCAGTGTGTTAATGAAATGACAGAGCAGAGGTAGAAGCTAGCATTTTTAGTCCTCTAGTCCTTATTATAATAACATACAGCAAATCCCTAAAAAACATTTTATGAGTCAGGGCACCGTTCCACAAAGCGATTAGTGCTACGACTATTGTAAGCCAGTGTTAAAGTATGGGAGTCACGATCACCTTAGCGCTAAGATGGCTTTGCGGAACGGGGCCCTGTATGATACCTTCACCATTGGGCAGTTTGGCAAGGACTACAGGACTAGTGCCTATTTCTAAAGCTGCCGAATGTTCTGTCTTTGTGAAACTACAGTTAATTCATAGTCTTGATGAGTGTTTGAAGTGAAACGTTGAAGTCAAGGAGTCCTTGTCATTATCCTAATGTCACACATGTAATGGATCCTGAGATTCATACACAATATAAGAAGACTGCTAGGGACTTAGGACCCTTGGAATACTGATTGAAGCATATACTGGTCATCTGTAAATGTGCTCCATCTGCATGGATTGTTGCTCATGATTTCAATCACTTGTTTGCCAGACTAACTTATTTACAAGGTGACGAGTATAGCTCGACATTTGCGGACTTCGGCCAATGATTTATCTACGATTCCAAACTATGTGCCCTTAGCAGGCACATTTGAAAAACAAATGTGACAATGTTTAATATCAGGGATGTGAGCAGGTCTTCCCAAAAAAAGAGGAAAAGTCTAGGGGGGTCTTAAATTTTTAAACATTTGATTGCATTTTAAGCAATTTCGTGCAGTTTGGACAACATTCACACCAAGAAATGTAAGTCAATGGCAAAAGTCAATAAGTCAAATAAACAAAGATGGCAGATGCAGTAAAATTTCAAAGTTAAATCAGCTATCCGTCAGGTCTGGGAGCAATACTGCCATAAACTTCAACCCCCATCCCCCAGACACAAGGACAACTGTCACAAGCGTGCAATGTCTGACCCTTTCCCCATGTTGAAGCATATTGAAAAAAACTTACCTTGTACTTACTTACCTTTTGTTGAAAAAAACAAAACTCCATTGCAAACATTAATACAACATATATCCCTATGTTATGGGTTTTCGTACGCTGAAGAAACATTCATAGATTTCTCGCTAATCACATGAACAACTGTAACACATCTCATTCACTTATAGGCTAAAAGACAACTTTATCTTAAAAACAAGCAATCATCGGACTCTAAGTATTTACAATTTCTGTGTGGCACCACACCCCACGTTATAGTGCAAGTATTCGTGACAGAAAACATATGATGTCCGAAAAACTGCTGCTGAAAGCTCTGATCGAAAACATGATAATTCCCGACGGTTGTCCAGTTTTCGATCATATTTTTCGGAGTGTTTTTTTTTAAAATCTTTGATTATGTTCTTACGTGGAAGATGATTTTTTCCAAGGACTACTGTTTGAAAAAACCGCGAGTTTCCGCAGAGATTTCACATCCCTGTAATGTACATTTTTAAATTTTCCTAAATTTCTGAGGAATTGGGAATTTTAGATTCAAATTAGGAATTTTTACTCTTTTTTTGCTGCAAACTTGGGGCCGAATATCAGCCTCTGAGCAGGTCTAGATAAATCCCTATCAGCATAAAGTCATATTCAGTTACCAACTCACTGAAGAGGCTACTTATAGTCAGTGTTCGAAATATTAGAGTCCAGGAGTCTTCAGTGTTAGCTGCTGTAATATTTGAATCTAGTTGCTCCTTAAATCTTTAGCTTTTGACATCAGGATAAAGACAAGGACCCATAGACTTACATGCCAAACACTGTTTGTGGTCATGAATATTTTGTTGTTATTCTCTCCCTAATGTCTTCTTCTGTTTGATGCAGGTGGAGGATGAGGTTGGAGAGATCTCCATGGTGATTGTACAGAATAAGATTGATCTCATAGATGATGCACTGGTCCAGACGTAAGTAACCATGGTAACAGTACAGCGTATTGTACATGCAAGGTACAGTAGTTTGTGTGCCATCTGTCTGATGAGTCATTTTGTCAATTTGGATAGACTATCTTTTGGTATGTTATTGATCACTCAGGGTTAATCTATGTTTAATTTAATTATATTTTCTATTTGCATGCTAACGTGATCTGTTACAGAGTTGCTATCAATGATGGTAAAAGTGGTAGGATGTAAAAAGGATGTGACACGAGTCCTTTCTGAATTTTACTACTCTTTGACAAGCATATGTATTGAGCACTTTTGTATTCCAAAAGTATTGTTTTCAATAAAAGATAGTGTGGATTCCTTCAGTATTGGGGAAAGCAATTAGGTTTCAGCTGTGTGGTATGTTTGACCTTGACATTGATGGTTTTGGTTTGTTCCAGGGAAGAGGCTGAGGCTCTGGCCAAGAAGTTGAGGCTGAGGTTTTACAGGACCTCCGTTAAAGAGAATCTCAATGTTGATGAAGGTAATCATGTCAGATTAACACTTTGTTTCAAATTATTCAGCCAGACATTGTTTCCACATAAATATCAGCTGCTGTAGAATAATCAAAATATACAATTTGTGGAGTTGTGTTTGTGAGATCGGTCGTGGAAGGTTGTATTGGGTTGTTTGTTCATGTAACATTTCTCTGTGTTGCAGTGTTCAGGTATTTGTCACAGAAGTACCTGGACCGCCTCAATATGGTGATAGAGGAGGACACAGCACCACAGAAGATAGGCCAGGGTGAGTACACTGAACCTACAGTGTGTGTGGGAAGGGGGGGGGGGGGGGGGAGGAGGAGAGAGGGAGGGAGATGGTAGAACGGACAGTGGGTTGGGGGAGGGGGAAAGGGGTCATTGACGTCAGGGTGTGTCGGTGGAACCTGTGCTGTGTCTGGGGGTCATTGAGGTCAGGGTGAAATGGTGGAACCTACAGCAGGTTTGATTTACAAGGGCCCAAGATTCTGATTCTGATTCTGATACGAGAGATGGGGATGGTGACAGCACTTCCTAACCAAAGCTATGGTTGCGAATGCGTTCAGGGTATTTAACATATTAGAATTGGCATATAATACACAGGATTTCAGGGGTTCTATGGTCCACACCTCACTTATAGCCATACAAGGATTTGCCTTTATTGACCCATATTTCTGTCCTTGGTTTGTTGTCTCATTTGTTGTTTAGAAGATGATATGTTTGAAGTACTTGACATGTAATTCTTGACGATGTCAGTCAAATATTGGGATTGTCTTGCAGGTTTGATTCAAACGGAAACCAAGAACAATCACAAAGACAAAGAAAAGAAGAAACAGAATGATACCATAAATTTACAACCGAGTAAGAGACGGACTCATGGCAAAAAGTCTCTAGTCGCAAATAAGTGTAGTCTGTTGTAGCAGCCCCTGTGTATCTATGTACAGTTCCGGATGTGTCAGAAGAACGACTGTCACAGTCAGACCCTGTAAACCAACAGTAGACCATGCCAGACCCTATAAAACAGCAGTAGACCGTTCCAGCCCCCCCCCAACCAGCAGTAGACTGTGCCAGACCCTCTCAACCAGCAGTAGACTGTACCAGCCCCTCTAAACCAGCAGTAGACTGTACCAGCCCCTCAACCGACAGTAGACCATCCAGACCCTCTCAACCAGCAGTAGACCACCCAGACCCTCTTAACCAGCAGTAGACCATGCCAGACCCTCTCAACCAGCAGTAGACCATCCAGACTCTCAACCAGCAGTAGACTGTGACAGACCCCCTCAACCGACAGTAGAACATCCAGACCCTCTCAACCAACAGTAGAACATGCCAGACCCTCTAAACCAGCAGTAGACCATCCAGACTCTCAACCAGCAGTAGACTGTGACAGACCCCCTCAACCGACAGTAGAACATCCAGACCCTCTCAACCGACAGTAGAACATGCCAGACCCTCTCAACCAGCAGTAGACCATCCAGATCTTCTCAACCGACAGTAAACCATCCAGACTCTCTCAACCAACAGTAGACCATCCAGACCCTCTCAACCGACAGTAGACCAGCCAGATCCTCTCAACCGACAGTAAACCATCCAGACTCTCTCAACCAACAGTAGACCATCCAGACCCTCTCAACCGACAGTAGACCAGCCAGACCCTCTTAACCAGCAGTAGACCACCCAGACCCTCACAACCGACAGTAGACCATCCAGACCCTCACTGCTGAGAGTAGACCATGCCAGACCCTCTCAACCAACAGTAGACCATCCAGACTCTCACTGCTGAGAGTAGACCATGCCAGACCCTCTCAACCAACAGTAGACCATCCAGACTCTCAACCAGCAGTAGATCATGCCAGACCCTCTCAACCAACAGTAGACCATCCAGACTCTCACTGCTGAGAGTAGACCATGCCAGACCCTCTCAACCAGCAGTAGACCATCCAGACTCTCAACCAACAGTAGACCATCCAGACTCTCAACCAACAGTAGACCATCCAGACTCTCAACCAACAGTAGACCATCCAGACTCTCAACCAACAGTAGATCATGCTGACCCTCTCAACCAGCAGTAGATCATGCTGACCCTGCAGATCCTTTCAACGAGAAGATGAATATGCCGTACCTGGAGATTTGACAAACTTAGTTCCAGCAATGCTGTGAGGGGGCTTTGATAACATCTAGCATGTTGTGATGTTTCAAGTGTCATCAAGGCTAGGAAAAGACATGGCTAGACCATACATGACTATCTGAATATGATACCAATACTGAAATACTGGGATACTGAAGAACTATGAAGTGGACGATACCCGGACTAGTTTTTATCAGACCTTCCCCTTGATGATGTAATGTGTCTACACTGTGTCTTACAGTTTTGTTGTGGGACCATTTATTATCTTTCCTAAGCTTCTGTAAGACAGCTGTGTGTCGTGTATTAGTCTGGTCTAAATTGGAGCAGTTACAGGCCATTTTAGAAACTTGCTTATATACTGATGGACGTAATTAAGAGAACATATGAAAATTGTGGGATGGGCCTGGAAGGGCCCGAAGTGTGGCATGGTTTCAAATGCAAATGGCGGAAATGCTGTGTTAAGTGGCTCTCAGTGCCTGAAATTATATCTATATAACAATTATCTGCTTACTTAGATTCAGTGTGACAAGTATCTGTTCGTATGCAAAATATATATTTCCTAATCTCATTGTGTCAGATCGGTAGCCCAGACATAGACTCATGAGACTGCACCATTCCAATGTCATATAAACAGAATCTAACTATCATTACATGTACTGTGTCAGATGTACGTTCGAACCTGTTTAATCCGAAGTCATGTAAACTTGAGCAACTTTTCTCTCTATGTGGTAATGTGTCTGTGCAATACTCCCCCGTTCCTCAGATTCAAGACAAAGTAAAAGTGTTACGTTTGTTTACCTGCGCTCTCAGCATTATTTCAGGTATATGATGACGATCTGTAATTCTGGACAAAAAAAATCAGTGAATGACATCATGAGCATCAATCTACGCAAATGGGATAAGATGACATGCTTCAACCAAGTCAGAAATCCTGACCACCCGATCCCATTAGTTTTAACTAACAACGAAGACCAAAGTATAAGACGAACATTATTACGCTTTTTAAATTTGAAATCATAGTCCCTGCTTAAGAACTTTTAGTTATGTTTTATTCTGCCTGAGGAATGTTTAACAAATACCCATATATTACCTACTCACTTAATTAATTTGATACAGATCTGACCAAAATAGGATCTCAAGGGATGCACAGGTTTAAGTGCTCAAGATGTCAAATGTGATGGAGATATTCCATCAGCTTGAGAATGCTAAATATGATATAATACACTGCATTGCAGTCGCTACCGATACTGATACCTGCAAGATCTGACTTATACACCGCTACAATTTACAAATCATACTTTTATGATCTAACATACAGAGCTCCAGATAAGCTTTTGGTGTTGTGTTTTTTTTACCCATGCATTTTAAAATCACTGGGTATCAGTAATTCTATCTGGGTATTCAAATTTCTGTTACCCACTAGTTTTTACACATGTGGGTATTTAAGTTAAATATTTAAAAACACTATTCATCTAGTCCCTGCAAACTGGTGTTGTGTGGGTTCGAGAGCTTTATAGGACTCAAAAATACCACGATACTTCCACAAAAAGTGTGATGGCAAATGATCATGATGTAACTGTCATCGTGGAGTTTGGCAAGGTTGACGGAATGCCTGTTTATAATTTCAAAATAGGTTGCTGATTTGCCAATCAAATACGCAGGGTTACTTCACAATATTTTGATGATACGCACAAGTTTTATTTTTGTAGCGTATCTGTAATGTTCGATGCGTATTAGATACGCTTGGATATTATATTACTGCATATTTCTGCATTTCTGATGCGTATTTTACGCAGATACGCAGCTTATCTGGAGCTCTGGACATATTTGTACGACTGAGGTCTGTGGCTGATCCACCTGTTACAGTCTTGTCTGTTTCTGTTGACCTCTTTACCATCTTGGGCCTTGAGCACCCATGTCTATCTCACAGGTCACTTGTATTGAAGGGATAATGTGTTAATGTGACAGTATTTATTTCTAAACCAACTTTTTCTTTACTCAAAACATGGACTTAAGATCTCCTTTATATAGGGAACACGCCACAGATCTCAGAGTCTGCCTTTGACCTGAGTTCAACCCTGGATCTGACTCGTACAAGTTTCTGTATGCTTGATGAATATTTGCTATGTCATTATTTTAGAAATATTTCAATGATGAACAAACATATCAAACCCATTATCATATACATATACTCCAAATTGTTTGTGGTCACAGGGCTATGTTTCTGTGTAGCCATTTCCTGGTTGTACCCAACTTGATACTGCTGACTAGTGATGTATTTTGATATTGATATACACTGTGTGTTTCCTGTGTGTTTCCTGTGTGTTGGTTCCTGTCCGTGTCGTGATGAAGTCTGGAAACATGGTAGTTTGAGTGTGACTTTTCCAGCTGATTAAGCATATTGTCATGACCTGCAGGAAATATGTGTAACGCCTTGCAAATCTAGACGGTAGTGTTCTCATTGAAATCCTTAGGATTTCCACATTTCTGGACAAGCAGATCATAGTTTTGTTGACATCTCACCTTTCGCAGTAGTTAGATAGGCAGGAATTGGGATTCAAAATGAACAGGGTTTGGACAAACAAGGTTTATCTGTACACAGTGCCTGATTCACTCTACAGATTACCACATTCTGGTTTCCATTCTGAGTGAGTGAGTAAGTATGATTTTACGCCGCTTTTAGCAATATTCCAGCAATATCACGGCGGGGGACACCAGAAATGGGCTTCACACATTGTACCCATGTCGGGAATCGAACCCGGGTCTTCGGCGTGACGAGCGAACGCTTTAACCACTAGGCTACCCGACCGTCCCGTTTCCATTCTGATATAACTTGCATCAGCCCTGTGCCGTTGATTTATGTTCTGGTTGCATGGGGTCCTGAGTACTAGCCGTGAAGACCCGGCGTCCAGGGCTGCGTTCCACAAAGCGATCTTAGTGCCACGTTGATCGTAAGCCTATGATAAAGTATGGGAGTTACGACCAACTTAGCACTAAGATCGCTTTGTGGATGGGTTCCTGTTCTCCCAACGTGTACCGGTAAGTTAGGAGACCTTTACTACAATTAACTGTGCTTTTGAGGAACATGACCCATCACCATACTCTGCACAATCACTGCACAAGCTCTGTCTGTAGTATCAGGAAGATAACCACATATCTTGTGTGTACCAAAGTGCATAATGTTAGAAATATTGATTGTGCATTAATCCAGCTTTGAATAACAAAGAACTGAAGGACAATATTCCTGTTTAGGGATAAGCGTGGGGTTCAGACTTCAGAGGCAGAACGGGATTTGAAAAATGGTGGATGTGCACCCATTTCTTGATCTACCTGTGGTTCTCAAGCTGATATTTGGCTGATTTCAGCAGTTGACTGTACAGTGTAATTCAAGATGTCAGTGAAGCATGGGTCATACATGCAATTAATTTTTTATCTTGTGGGTACTCCAGTACCACTGTCCAATCCATCTTGACAGTCGGAGTTGAAGATATTCTTCGATGTCCAAATGTTATTTTTTAATCCATTTTCATTAAATCCATGCATACAATTATACCAAATGATTTTTATTGTGTTTGTACCCAAATGGCTTCTTTTTTCTAGAGTCACTCAGCAGCCTCTGTGTTTTATATTTTTAACAAGAATGTTTGTACACTTGTTAGTATTGGCCCACAACAATTGTCCTCCATGTGTTGTCCTGCAAGTTGGATGTCATCCATTGTTGTCCAGGTGTTACGTATGAACGGCTTTACTGATATATGCTGGCCCAGCCAGCAAGTGCATCAATGTGTTGTTGCTTTGTAATTTATGCAAGAATGTGAACATCCGTAGTTGAAGTCATTGACTTTTTAGGGATTGTCTCATAAGTTCAGAATCATTTTTAATTTACATGACAATGTGACACATATGACAATGATGTTAAGACTACAGTTTATCGATCTTTATTTCTGATTTATCTCTGGCTCTGAATCATCAAAGATTTTGTGGAAATGAAAAGATAATATTTATAGCTATTTTTCTTTTGAGACAATCCCTAGCGTATGTGATAGTTGAGGGGCATTTGTTACAGATTTTATGGCTTTGTTCCCTACATGCTATGCAATGAAATATGTATGAGCTGTTATAGTGTAGCAGTGGCTATTGTGTTAAGTTATATACAGTTGACATTTATTACCAAATGCAGTACAGTGTCATTCATCATCAACCCCTAAACCACCCATCCTGCTGCTAGTAACCATGGCAATGTCCCCTCTGAATCTGACACACTGTATGTAAATGGCATGGTGTGAGCAAAATGTTGAAATCCGATGCCCAAACAAAATTGAGTTTATGTAAATGTGAAAATTGATAGGGCAGGCCAAATTTTAGGTTGGGAGCCAACTAATTTATTTTAAATAAGAAATGTATTTTAATAAGACATGTATTTTAATTATCCAAATATTGAGTCGACACTAAAGCACTTGTAATTATTGCATTTTCAGTTGACTACAATTATCCCTTCTCAGATACAGACAAAGAACGGAATGTTGCATTATTTATGTGTTTCAGTATATCACTTCAATTCCGTACATCATCAGGGTATGTTACACATCTCGATTACAGAAAAATCCCCTCATTTGGTGCGATAAATCTTTGCAAGCATAAGTTCAGGATTTATTTATTTGCTTCCTAGACTAGATATCTTGCTTTGTTTTTGTTATTTATTCTTTTCATTGTGTGGATATCCTCGGATTTCCATGTGCAGATCTCAACTGACTGTTGAAGAACCGATGTCAATTGTGATGACTTGGCAGAATATGAGTTTCACCAGTGTGTATGATATGATATGCATGGATATTTTGTATTCGAGGTTAAATATGTATTTGAATGATGAATATTTATTACATTTAGTTGTTTGTATCAATCTCATTTCCATTATTCAGTAGGTCGACTCACTAGTTTGTTTAATACTTTTTCATGCCACCAATCATTTCAAAATCAAAAAAATGTTTTATTTTCTCAAACTACACCATTCCTTTCTCATTCTCAGAGTGCAATTATTACAAGAAATATGAAATATCCAGCATTTCCATGCCCTATATTGTATTTGTCCATAGTGATTTGTGACTATAGAAGGCGAAGTAATCAAAATTTATTTTCTTATAGTTTAGTCCATAGGTCATCTTTGTCCATCCTAAATATCTTGCCAATCAAATAGCCATATTCCAAGCTTATATAATAACATGGTGATATGACAGCTGAACATTTGTAGCTTCCGAGGAGCAGTATACATTGATGCAAGGTTTCATTGCTTGTTATTGTATATTTTACAAATTAAAATACCTTTCAGTTATTGGTGTATAGATAACATTGTATTTACATTGTAAGATACATGCAAGTATTTCCAACCACCGTTACAAGCGTTGCTGAACACATTGCACTGTAAGGCCATGATCATTTGTGTTCGATGCCTTCCCTTTGAAAAACTCTTGATCATGAAGAGCTTCTGTCTTGGACCTCTCTTGCATGAACAGGACTACAGCTTGTCCAGGACCAAAGAGACAACTAGTCCAGGACCTTTTCAATGTTGTTAAGGATATTTGGGAAAACAGAACAGCTTGTCCAGGATCTGTGCGACATCGTGTCCAGGACCTATTGAACAGCTTGTCCGGGAATAACTTGCAAAATTTATGTAAAGAAAATTAAGTGTGCTCACTTTACTTGATCAGTTTTTCATGGCCTAACGTGAGTGAGAATGTCGTGTTTCAACCTTATTCCCACATGTACACCCCAGCATGAAATGCATGTACTCCTCAGCATATGCACAGCCACCTGATCTTCCACACAACTAGTCATAGGACTTAGGACACAAGTTCAGCAGGAGGCTCTGACCTTCCATACCTTTCCTAGACTTCCAGTCATATAGCAGCTTCATGGCACAGTCATATGACTCAGTCAGACATGTTTGAAATAGCTGGTTGCTATATACCAGTATATACGTCATGATTATTTTTTTTATCAATTTTGTGTCAGTTTGAAGTCACCAAAATCAGTGGCTGTTTTGCTTGTATCTATGGATGTGTGTAGATAATATATAATGTGGTTGTGACATTTGCTTGTGTCTGAATATTACTATATTTTGCTCTTAATATTTTGAGAGAATACCATTCCTATAAAAGATACTTACAGTAAATCCTCAGATAAACGACCCTATTCATGAATGAGTTTTATGTTTTATTATTTAAACTGGAATTTGATCTCAATTATTATATGTTTAGGCCAGACCAGTTCATTTCTGTGTTTTACAGGTGGGCCTTTGACAAATGAAGAAGAAAAATGTATTGAAGTATACCTTTTTGATACTTTGTCTAGATATGTATATGTTTTTCATGATCTTTTTCAAGTAAATTACCCTCAAATCTACACTTACCATTTGGATTTTCCTCCAACTTCTTGGCATGTT